GTGTGTGTGCATGAGATGTTCATAGGTCAGTTTGTGCCAACAGTTGAAATCAAGGCTCCAAATGCGTACAGAGTACAACATCTTCCTTTTCAGCTAGGTATTTAAAACAAGGTTTACTTCCTCCTGGGCTATGACCCCAGAGGGCCAGATACTGAATTAAAGCTAAAGATCGACTGTTGAAGGTTGAAAGATATCAGTCTATTTCATACTGTATCTCAGTGAGATTGTGATTAAAACCACATTAAAGAATTAGGAACAGCAGCTTTCATTATAATCTACCAAACATTTTGTTTATGACAGGGCAGACCTACTGTCTCTGTAACACTCTCAACTTCAAGGTTAAACAGCATAAGCTGAAACTTAAATTACCCTTAACCTTTTATATGTAGATATATGTAGATGCAAGAATTGAATTACAATGTGTCAACAGTACATCTGCACATTTTATCACAGTTTATATTAGCATTGCTGACATATATTTACTAATTATATATACACAATTACTAGTTTAAAATATTAATATTATTAATTTTAAGGTATTATCATTTATTAACCATTCTACGTTTCCTACAATTCCTAAAAAAACCAAGGCTGTGACTCCCCTGCAGTGTTTCTCAACCTCATTTTGGAGTCTAGCCTAGCTAAAACAGATGGAAACTGACTGGCTGATTACTTCTCTAGGCCAAGACTCAGATAAAGCAGGCCCCATTGTTTTGTAAATAAAAAAAAAGAAGACACATATTTTCTAACCACCTTCAAAAAGGCTCAGGGTTTCATGCGAGACCAGGTGCAAAAATCAAAAGCAACTCTTCTAGTATTTGAAGTCTGTATTTCTTAATGAATAAAAGGTATTAATAAAAGAATTCCAACTGAGTTCCTTTTAGTCTTTGGCTTACACACCTGTTTCCTGCTGTCACTAAAATTTCAGTCACATAGTGTATTAATTCCCTATAAATACTTCTAGCTATTACTGTATTAGGCACTTAAATAGAAAAAGACAGGTGCTTAAATTAAAAATAGAAGGCTCAACTGCACAAGCAAAACGTTCAAATGTAGCTACTCAAAGCTACAGAATAGATAGATATCGTCCTTTAAAAACTGCTCAGCTAATAGTTTGCTTGCTGACAAACTTTTTTCAATAGTACATATACTAAACTGACTTTAATTTTGAATCTAAGACAAAAAAAAGGAAAAAACAGTAACCTAATCTAAAATTGTGTATTTAATCCATTTCAGCAGCTGATTCAGGTGCTGGCCAGTTCTGTGCTTTATATTTTTAGGTATTTGTAGTTATTAATTCCTTGATTTCTAAAGAATACATGGAGCATTATTCAATAATAACAAAGGTGCAGATAAAAAAAGCTAAATAAAAAGAAACTGGACATGTTAGGTGTTTTCCTACTATTAGAATGAAGAACACTACTTTTTCTATCATATTTTGCTCAGTGTTTTTCTATTGTTAAAATGCATATTTCATTTCCTTTTACTGAACATAACAATTTAGAGCACTAACTTTACCTATGTCAAAAAAATGTTATATTTTTATTTTAACATAAAACTATAATTGTAATAAAAGTAAGGGTTCCTATAAAGGCACATTTTACTGCTGTGAAAATTGACAATTTTTCTAGACTTTTCTGTATTTTCAAAAATCTCTCTCTCTACAACATTAATTTGTACATTTATACTGTATTCTCACTTGCTATGCCATATATATTTAGACTACAGTAAATAGGACTAAAGCCGTGGTTGTTCTGGTGTCTGATTATTTTTAATAATAATAAAGTTCTTACTTTTTTTGCTTATATTATCTCTTTTAACACACTCTTGCACAAATGTTTTTCTAAATGTGTTTTCTAGAGCAAACATGGATTGTTTTAGAAAAAAGGAATGATTAACATTAAGTCATCAAAGAGCTACACGTTTATATTTAATGTCAATTAATATTAAGATAAAAAATGATGCTACATATTTATGATGGTACTATTCAGGTACAATCTAAGTATTTAAACTTTATCATGTGAATCTCTGTTCTGGATGGGAACTTTGTACAAAGTGTGAAACAGAACCGCAGTCAGCACTGTTGTCTTCACTCTATGTCTACATGTACAATAAAATATCACCACACTTAATGAAAAAACAATCTGACTATATGATGCAGTTGTAATATAGAAGACTCATTATTGGTATTTATTGTGAAAATAAATAACGGTCAATCTTGTATGTCAAAGAATTGATCTATAAGGTTAATCAAGCACTACCTACAGACATCTACAGATATTAATGCAGTTATTTATTGATCTGTATTTTTGTTGCCTCAAGACCCTAAAACATGCATTCATGAAGTATGTGTGGAAAGAAAACTTAATGAAGGGAAACTTACGTGAAATTATACTGTGTTATTCGAAAATATAGGCCATAAAATGCAATAAATGCAATCTTTTAATCAGCTAAATAATCCCCAATTCATTCACCATATAAACATTTGATTTGGTACTGACTGTATATTTAAACTTCAGAAGTATTGACTTCTTAATTGAGTCTCTATTTTTTAAAATGCAGAATATATTACATATCTCTTGTGTATTCAGTATTTCTATAGCTACAGATCACACAATGCACAAAATTATAAAGCATAATTATACAGTATGTAAATATATTGCAATTTGCATTTTCTACACAGATATTCATAGGGTAAGGACTGCAGAGAGTTAAGCATTGAAGCTGATACATTTTATTTTATAAACTGTCTTATCTCTCTTCCTATGTTTTGTCTGTTTATGTGGGTTTCTGATAAACTTTCCTACAATACTTTACCCACTCTTTTGAAAGAAAAATGCCATCACTAAGGTGAACACATCTGGGAAACTATAATGAACACAAAACACATTTTATTCAGTTAGTATAGTATATTTAATATATTCAGATAAATACAAAGTGTTTAAAGTGTATTTTAAAATGACTTAACTATTTCCCAGTTGTTCTCATTATATTACATTTTCCTCACAACACAAACTCTATCTAAGAGGTGTGAATGTTGTTTGTTTTTGGCTATGCAGTATTTGATCATATTATTGGCAACAATAAATCACTTTAGCTTTTGATCACAGACTATATTTCTCTAATTAATTACAAATGTGAATGAAGCGTATGGTACTTCAATGATGGAAACTTGATCACCAACAAAATTAAATATTCACTTGTAATTAGCAGATATACGCAGAAACCTCCAAATTTACTCACTACCCCCCATAAAATAGGAAAATAACATCATATAGCAGAATTAGTTACATATTGGGTAATGTGTCTCACATAAAACATTCTGATGTTATGCTGTAATCATAATAGTATTGGATAGAGAAAAGCCATATTTGTCATAAATAATTAATTGAATTCCAGACTAATCACAATATAAAAAAATATGTTAAAGTCTGATACTTCATTTGACAAAATCCTGTAGTTTGACCAAAGCCAGTCAGACCTATTATCAAGCACTGTTGTAGGATCACTGATCTTTGACTCTCTTTTAACTCTTTATGAGCTGGGAAATGCAAGGAAATGCAAGAACAGCAAAGTGCCAAGGCCTATTTCCGATCACAGTATTGACTGAATTCATATGTGTCTATCAGCTGTAAATCAATCCACATAATGTTCATGCCATGTGGGTTTTCTGCAAGTCCCATCAGCTTCATACTGACTGACTAGGTGTGTTGACTACTATAAATTGTCTCTTTCACAGTGGCCCTATGATGAATAACATCTTAATTTAGGGATATCATGTGCTCCCAGTCCCACTGTGTGCTTTACACTTCTGGGACTGTCTTGCCATGGCACTCATGAAACTAAGCAGTTTCTGATAATTTATATATGATAAAGGCTGAATATATCAACAGTGTACCTACAAAATCATTACTTATATTTGTAATGCTGTATGTTCACATACTGTATATATTAATATAATCTAAACGTGTTGTTTTTAATCATTAGGTAAAATAAAATGAAAATACATTAATTTGCCAACTAGCACCTAATTGGCTGAAACAGATTAAGCTTTTGGACGGTCTCACCAGTCATATTGTTATCAGAGGAAGAGAAAGTATGTAATCATTTCTGTTAAGAATAGAAAATTACCTGTTATGCTTTTGCATCCCCTGGTATTTGTGTTCCAGCAACAACTGTGGGACAGACAGATCCTATACGTTTCCAGGGTATTTTAGCCAAAACCACAGTTTGTTTCTGTGATGAGGCTAATTTTTGACCCCAAGAAGAATGGGGTAAAAATCAGCATTCTTGATTGGTCATCACATTCTCTATTAGAAAATCGATGGTATGAGCTGCAAAATCCCAACTACAGGCTGCACAACCTGTCATTGAAGAGTTATTACGTACAAGAGCGGTTGAATATCCCTCACAGAAAAATAAAAAAGCTATTAAAATGATATAACTAGTCTCCTTGGGTTTAATAAAGCCAAAGGGGGTTCTTAAAATATTGATTATACAATAAAATGTATAATCAGAAAAACTGTCATTTAAACCACAGTAACAGTGGGAACTATGTAACTATTTCTGTCAGATGTTCAATTTTTACATATTTAATTTCTTACATGATTTTAGTTTTATGTGTATTGAGAAATAATGATTGTATAAATGCACTTTCATGTTAAGTCAACTTTTAGTTACAGTTCAAGGTTATGAATACTGTACTACTTTATAAATATAGGTAATATTGTATTGTTTTTGTAAAAGGATGAATATTTTTGTTTTGTAATCACTGTAGCAGTTTGGGAACATCTTGATCCCTGCATTGTTACTTGAAAAGACAGCAAGGGCAGACCACAGCAGGTATCATTAGCCAAGATGGCTAAATTCCCTCAAACTAAACGGCTACATTCTGGTTCAATTTCAGTTCCTCTTTATTACATTGCTACAGATACCTTTCATAGGACCCAGGCGGCTGCGTCACAGAAGTGGTGTGGGCAGAGCCCAGTTGTGGCATCTGCATATTAGGGGGGCCTCTCAGTCACATATTGCAAAGACAAAGAGTGTTTTGCAGAAGATATCAGTAAAAGAGCCTTGACACTACTGAGGACTGAAACCTTCCATTTCATCAGAAATGCTAGGGACTAAAGTGTTCACCTGGACATCTTGAGCTGAAGAAAAGGCTGGTTCAAGAGCAGTTTCCTAACCATTCAGAAGTTGAAGAGGCCGAAACAAGCACCAACGGGGAGAACCAGCAAATACTGCTGCTTGAGTTGGAAATACAGAACATACTGGACGGTCTACATTTATTTTCAGAAAAACAGAAATCGTCTTCCCTGTTTGAAATTTACTTTTTTGATCAGAAGAAATTATAAAAGAGGGAGAAGTATGTTGAACAGATGCCGAATGTGGTTTCTGATTCCTCTTATCTGCTTGGCTCTCTCTGTTTCTGTCTGCGCTGAAGTATGCACCAGGGAGGACTTGCCTAAGAATATTATACTGGACTGGTTCAAGCAGCGAGTGCTGGATGCATTGGGATTGAAGGAACCCCCAATCACAAGTGCGAGTCACTCAGCCAGTGAAAGAGGAGATCTGGCCCAACACCCTGTCTCTGCAAGAGTGGGAAGGGCAGCATGGACAGAGAGAAGAAGAATTCACCAAGAGACATCACAAATCATTCTCTTCCCTAGCACTGGTTAGTCTCAGTTTCCATGCAGCACATTACAGCAATAACGCACAGCCTTGACACAAAAATAATAACACAATCCCAAAACAGGGACACAAATACAACAGTATCTGGCAGACTGGTTATACACATCATATGGGGACAAACACAAAACAAAAAACTGTTATTTATACTATAAGAACAGTGGGAAAACAACAATTTCACTGTGTAAAACGTTTCAATAGGAACTTTAGATAACCTGTTAATAATGAAGTTTTTAAATCATTACATCTGACAGTTACAACTGGTACTGATCATACTTGGAAAAAACATTATTGAATTCTGAATACTTTAAGAAAGTATGCTTGAAAGAGATTTAACAGATCTCTAAAACTTTTGCTTTTATTCCTAGTTCATTTTATTAAGTTTATTAAGTTAACTTGTAATAATTAAACAGTTTTTTTATCTGTTTTCCTCTGTTATGCAAATGTTCATACAGAAAACCGTCATTTCTACCAGAAGAATGGCACAAGAACAGTAGGAAAATACCAATTTCACTGTTAGTGATTTCTTTTTTTAAGATAGTTGGGCTGCATAAAAAGTTTAATTAGGAACTTCAAATAACCAGTTAATAATGAATCAACTGGTATTGATCATACTTTGAAAAATATTTTTGTTTTTTTTCTTCTTTAAGAAAGTATGCTCGGTCTCTAAAACTTCCACTTTTATTCTTAGTTCATTTTAATAAGATCCTTGTCATAAACTATTTTTACAAGTTTTCTTCTGTTATGCATCATACAGGGAAAGACACAGATGTTCATACAGAAAACTGTCATGTTATTTATACCACAAGAATAGTGGGAACACAACAATTTCACTGTTAGCGATTGCTTTTTTAAGATAGTTGGGCTGTGTAGAAAGTTTAACTAGGAACTTTAAATAACCAGTTAAGAATGAAACTTTTCAGTCATTACAGCTGAAAGTTACAACTGGTATTGATCATACTTGAAAAAACATTTTGGAATGTTTCTTTTTGTTCTTTAAGAAAGTATGGTTGAAAGAGTTTTTACAGGTCTCTAAAACTTCCACTTTAATTCTTAGCTCATTAAGATATTTGTAATAATTAAACTGTTTTTACCAGTTTTCTTCTGTTATGCATTATAAGGGACTGACACATGCTCCTACAGAAAACTGTCATTTATACAAGAACAGTGAGAAAACAATTCCACTGTTAGCAACTGTTTTTTTAAGATTTATGGGTTGTGTAGAAGGATGAATAGGAGTGTATTTTAGATGATTGGCAGGTTGCCCTTTTTTACTTTTAGATAAAGTAAAAGATGTTGCCTTGTATGTGTTTAATGAAAAGATTTAAAATTAATATAGTAGCAAAATTAACTTGTTCTAAAGATGTTTACAATGTCATAGGACTGTTTTCTCATCACCGAAAGTTTTGTTATCTCTTTCTGAATAGCAGACAATGACAGCAATATGGTGCTATACATACGCACACATTGAAACTTCATCTCCGTTGTGATGTAAATGACTGGTTGTACACATTACTGTGTACTTGGTAGTTTCATTGTGCTTTAAAATGCACTTATTATTGCAGGTCCCCTTTAAATGCCAACCCTTTCTATAAGTCAGTTTTTCACTGATAAAACTCTTTCATGTTCTTTTTGCTTTTTTTTTCTGAGTGCACTTTAGTGCTCCATCACTGGTGTGAGCTTCCTTCATTCTCTTGCTCTTGCTGTCCTAATGTCAGCCCCATGACAGCATTCATTAATTTTTTGCATTTATTTCAGCCTGACACACATTCTCCATATTTTGCCATGGCTCTCCTATAAACAAATAATTTTACAATGTGGCGGCATTACCATTCACCCTTACTTTCAGGTCTCTTTTGACAGTGGTGGATCGTGGAAAGTAGTTTCCGTAAACCTCATCATGCAAACTTGCTGTGTCTACACCCTAAGTGATTCATGCTAAACTGAGTAGTAACCAAGTTCAACTATCTTCACAAACACAATTTAGAAATTATAATGTGTACTTTTAAAATTATAACAGTGCTGTTAAGTCTTTTGTTTGTTGTATCTGTTACTGGGACAGGTGCTTTAATTCATCATAAGTATGGGACAATGTCTTTTAAGAATGCATACTGAAAACAAATGGCTTGAAGGTTAAATTAATTTAATGAAACAGCTTGTTGCTGTGATATATCATTCATTATACCAATGCAGAGTACCCCACAGGATATACAAAATAAACAGAGGTGAATCGGAGTGCTGTGTCAGGCAACATTAGACTATAGGGAATATAATTATTTAAGCTGACATAAAGTCTCAAGGTACATGTACCATCTCATCTTATTGATGAGAATCTAACATGTCTAACCTTCCTGCTTGACAATATTAGTGGTCAGAAAATTCTGAGCTTGCATGTTCATTTGATGGCTTATGCCAGTGAAATGAGAGACAGTACTAGAAAGACTGAGATTGTAGTGTTTTAGGTCTTGATTCTAGATGTAATACTAAATGAGCTTGAGAGCTTGAAATGGAGTGTTCAGTGCTTACTCAGAAAGTAGGTTACAGTGCTTGACAGTTGAAATACTCAGCAATTGTAAACCTGCCATACAGAGATTTACAGGGTGCCTTGTCATTGAAGTGCACATTTGTTGCACTGTAAGAATAATAACAGCATGCCTCTCTGCTCATAAAACTCAAGTGGATTATGCAGAACACCTTTGATATAATTGTCAAGCCCTGTAACAGTTGAACAACTGAAAAAAACATACAATTTTAAGAAGAGATGAGTGTTTTTTTTGCATGAGTGCTGTTCAGGTAGAAATCCCTGAAGTGTTACAGTCATTTCATAATATTGTCAGAGGAAACAAGTGGTGCAATATCAACATCACACTAGACTCCCGGGACTAGATTAATATTGTTATCTCTTCAGATCACATCCTGACATCCTTGAGAAACACCAGCTTTCCAAGATTCAAATTCAGGATAACATTTAGGTTATTTTAATGCCTTCCAGTAATTAATCGCAAAACTACTACAGATACTATTACTTAACATTGGCATGAATCAATTAAATATTTCCAATACACATTTGGCATGGTTGGTAACATTTTTGAGGACTCCCTTTTCATAATGCTCTCTCTGGCACGGTATCTGGAAATATATTAGGATAAATATTTAAAGACACTATTTAAAAGGAATACTCTTATGTATTAAAAATGTAAATGAATTTTTAACATTAGATTTCCATTTTAACATCATGACCAGACTTATTAACTCAATACAATTTCAACATCTCTATCCTGTTTCCCCAGATTCCACCTGTGCACACAGCCTAGACCTGCCCTCACCAAAGAGAACCGGGCATTTCACTTATTATTTCCAGCCTTCTACAAACACCCTGGAGTCTGTTGTCACATCTGCCCACTTCTGGTTCTTCAGCGGACAGGTGGATGAAGCAGGCAACTCTTCAGCCCCTCTCTTTATCCTGACAACCCACCAGCAGCTGGCACAAGTTGCAGAGAACCCTCTAAAGACGTCAGATGATGGGTGGGTCACATATCATATTGCCAAGCAATTCCACCCACTTTTGGCTGAAGGGCCTTTTGTTCTACAGGTCCGATGCCCAACTTGTGGCTGTCACTCCGAGTCTGACAAGATCCCCTTCCTACACCTCCACACACACTTCAGGGGTCCTGACCGCTCACGAAGGTCATCCCTGCCCTGGTCACCCTTGGCTATTCACCTTCTACAAAGGCCATCTCAAGAGAAACCCAACTACAATGACTGTCACCGGGCAGAATTGAATATATCCTTTGAGGAACTGGGCTGGGACAACTGGATTGTCCACCCCAAAGTATTCACGTTTTACTACTGCCATGGCAACTGTTCCAGCTGGGATCGCATGACCACCATTTTGGGGATGAAACAATGCTGTGCACCTGTGCCAGGAACCATGAGATCTCTCCGATTCCGGACCACCTCAGACAGTGGCTATTCCTTCAAATATGAAACTCTGCCCAATATCATTGCTGAGGATTGCACTTGTATTTAGCATGGTCTTCTGTGAAATGTTAACGCTAATTATCTGTCTGTGAAAATATACTCTGAAAGTAAATCTTAAAATACCTTGCACATGCTTTGCAATAATATCATTGTAGGCAGGTGAAGGAGGACAAATGGTGGAAGCTAAAAGGATTTTTAAAAATATTTCCTCTGACATATTTTTAGCTGTCAAATAACATTTGAAACAGGATAAAACATGCTTAAAGTCTGTTAATTGCATAACAGATTGTCCTTGTCTACCTTCTCTTTTAAACTACATATTCTTTTTGAATTTAGAATTTAGATAGTTAAATATCTTTACACATTTTACAGGATCATATCCCTACTTATTAGTTAAATGTGTTTATTCAAAGGAATGCTGCAAGGGTGCTTACCATTAAATCACAAACATTGAGATTAGCTTCATGCAACAATATCTTAACGTCCAAAGATGAAGCAAGTTTCACCAATGAACTTAACTATAAACAAGTAGCAGCTGCTTCACATGGGACCACAAATTAACTATGATTTAGTTTGCCTAACAACCACATAACTTGATCAAATAGGTTAAATATACCAAATCGATTAGAAGCTTTTACATTTTATTTTATTGTATTTGAAATCTCTCTAATTTAGATTAAAATTAAGCATTAGGCTTTCATTTTTTACTAACTGCTTAGTCCAAAACTACACATAGTGACCTGGAGCAAAACCCATCTTGAAATGAGTACAAGGCAAGGAACCAAATTCTGGAATTAACATTTGTATTGTAAGTCTGCTATACTTATTATAATGTTTCTGTGGTTAAACCAAGGTTTTAAGCAATTTCACTTACTCAGAGAATAATCAGAGAACAATCTGTCCTCCCTTACCAGTCACCAGTGTATAACAGCATATTAACACTTAAAGCTGTAGTCTCATTTCATCATCCTAGATTGCAAACGACAATGGCTACACTTACCTTAATTAAACCAAAGTTTTTTTACAATACAATACAAATACGAAATACAATAAAATACATATAATTAAGAGATTTGACAAAATACACATATATTTACTTACTTAGTAACTGTAGAGAATGTATTGGTAAAAAGGCCAAGAATACTTTGCTATTTTAACTATACGTTTGTTGCAAAAACCATTCTGGCAGAAAAATAAATTATTAAATAAGAATGCAAAGTGTAGTGTTTAGATACAGTTCTTTTCTTCAGAGTCCACAGTAACTACAGTGCCTTGCAACAGTACCCAGACCCTCGCATTATTTTCACATTTTGTTGCTTTACAGCTTGCAATTATGTCACTTTAAAGCAGTGATTAATATTTAGGTGGACAAAACTACCTTAATGAGCCACACAATTATTTGACTGCCCTATCTTCATGTGCGATAATAGTGCTTCACATGATGTTCACATAATGTTACAATAAATACAGCAGTCTATGTTAGGTCCTTAATTTAGTGAATTTCAGGAAAAGAAGATTCGACCATAAAGACCAAGGAGCTTTCAAAACAACTAGGAGATTCATTTTTTGCTTTCAAATCAAGAGCAGGGTATAAAAACATTTCAAGGGTAATGTATATCTCATTGAGCAAGGTGAAGTGGATTATTAAGTGGAAAGCACCCAGACACTTCCTAGATCATGCTACTCCTCCACACTGAGTAGCCAGACAAAGAGAAAACTGGTTAGGGATGCCACCATGAGGCCAAAGGCGAGTTACAGGAGTTCAGGGGCTGGGATGGTAGACAATGTCCTTGGGTCAAACATATCCCTTGAATCTGTTGATTCTGATCTTTTAGAGGACTTAAAAACTGCAATCTAAATGATCCCCAAGCGCCTTGAGAGAGCCTGAGCTAATCCACATAGAAGAATCGGCAAAAATTACACCAAGATCATGTGCAATGCTGGCAGACACATACTGAAAAAGACGGTGTAACTGCTGTAAAAGCTGCTTCCACCAAATATTGAATCCACATATTAAGTGCATTCATATTTTCGTTTTTGGTGGCTTTTACCATAATCCATTACCATTAGAAGTCTTTATTTTGAGAATTCAGGTTTAGAATAAAATATTTAATTGAACAATTCTGTACAAGTTTGTAATTTCACAAGATTAGTCACCATAAGATTGTCTGATTGCAAGGCACGATTTCAGTTGGTCAGTCACATTCAAATAAACAAGTTGATGAATCTAAAGGGATAGACTGCTTAATTCTTTGGCTTTAACTCACTTGGGTGAGAGGATAGTAGCTGTCACACCACCCCCAAAACATTGATGCAGATATCGAACACTGAGGTAAGAGCACGTTACTTATCTGAAGTAATGTGTTGGTTCGGCTGCAGTTTCGCTGGAATGCAGCAGAATGGGCAAGAAGCGTGGAATGAATGACAAGCTCGTTAAGATACAGAATGTGAGGAGGTGAGCAGAAAGTGGCACAAGTAGAACCTAGCAGGGCTAGCTTGAAATGAGAAATGTGTTCTAGTTGTTCTAGAGATTAGAACTCTGTGGAGGGGGAGTGGAAAATGTGGAAAACATTGCAATGGGCCTGGAAGAATAGCCAGACCAGACATGGAAACCAGAAGAGAGCCTCTTGCTGAAGTTTACTAGATGGAATGGATATGCTGGAGATGGAGAACATACGCTGAGCTGACCCCTAAAAGAGAAGGAATATCAGCTTTTTATATGGCAGGAAGCTTCTGTTGGAGGAAGGGTCAACCAAAGGAGGTATAAGTCTTGGGGGGGGTGATCCATCGATTAGCATCCTAGGCCGCCAGCACTAGGGACAATGTGGGGGTGTACGAGGATGTCCAGATGCGATGCAGACTGATGCCATGCGCTTGCACCCGTGGGGCAGAGAGGGAGTCAGCGACCGGCAGCTCCCATAGAGACCTAGAAGAGAAGGACCGGGCAGAGAGCAGACAAAAGATATATTGCCTGGGGCCATAGGTGTGATGGGTTAGACATTCAACCAGAAATAAAAAAGGAAAGGAAAAAAAAATTGCCACCGTTTGGAGGTTTTAGAAGGCTTCACAAAATTGGGAGAAATGAAAGAAAAGTGCAGATGGCAAGCAGAGCTGCTTTTATTCAGTGAGGGGCTGATGCTGAAAAGACATAAGAGGCAAGAAAGAATCTGGTACTCATTTGTAGGAGATGAATGCAATATGCAGGTATGGTCCCTCTGAGCACCTCTGATTGCAAAACATGTCCATCTGCAAGTGAAGCAAAACTCCCAGTGCTAGAAAAAATGCACATAGCACTGTGTGCAGACAGGGAGCAGTTGTGCACAAGGAAATGGGAGATTAGGATTTGGAAAAATCAGAAAACCTGAAAGTGAGAGAATACGTTTTCCTGGAACCGTATACAATGTAGTAATGTACATTGTATGTATATTTTACTACCAATGTAGTAAAATATTAAAAGTAAACAATGTATAAAGGTATACTAAACACTAAAGGATGTTTATTATAAATTTGCATACTAATATTCTACTCCCATTTCTCCAAATCTGACTGGTGTGTTCCAGATACGCATCAAGATAAATGAAGCACAACAGACCGTAGAAACCAAAAGTCTCTCTGAACTAGGTGACGCAAATAGGGGAAAGGTGAAATCAGCAGCATTTTTTCGAAAACTTAGCTGGGTCCACATTTGAGCTGCATTAAATAGATATTTTATAGCAGTTGACTCGGAAGCCAGAGAATAGAACACTAAAGACAACAAATTGGACTTTTATTTGCTTGGGTTCTATAGAGACCTCAAGAAGGAATCTCTCTCAAATATAGCAGTGCAAGCATAGGCACTTTACCTCTGACTATTAGGTATTAGTCCTAGAGGTAGGGTAAATTGCTTCAAAAATAAAAATGCTAATATTGTACTATACAAAAATGTAGTCTCCTAGTTTTGAACCCCAGTTCCATATTCAATGAACAAGTATTGTCAATCTTTATACAAATTCAACCCAGTCCCATTATACATTATGTAGTACCCATTAAATATCAACACAAATCAAAGAAATACAGTAAACATCATCCAGTTCACATAGATGTAAACTTTATTATTCTTTTCTAAGAAACTTTGAATAGGAAAAATACTATCGGTACAAAAAAGTACAGAAAACATAAAAATATTCAAATGTATACATAGTACCTTTAAAAATAGAGAAAACAGCTTGGAAGATCATATTTCAGACTTTGCATGAGAGAAAACCATTTTGGACACTCCGAATAATGCTTCTATCCACAAACTTTCAGTGGCATAAAAATGACTGCAATGTATAACTATAAAAGATTAAATGGAGTAATGACCATAACATAAGACATTTAGGTTTCAGAAATTATTTGCTGTAGAATCCTTATTCGTTCAGTCACTTATCGGATGTAAACACCAATCTGTAAACAATTCATTGCAGTTTTAGCTTGGTCCCAAGTATAAATTCACAATCCATTTGGTTTTATTTCAGTATTTTTCCCTTTGTTTGTAAACCCATGGTTGTGAAAACTGTTTTATTGCTGGTGATCACTACAAGAAAAGCAGGTGCCAGATTAGGTCCACCCTTTTCTCTTTATTTCTAAAGAAAACTCCAGAGTATCCAAATAGATAACATATAGCTAGAGGCCTCGTGGCCTGTTATATGACAAGTTGGAAAAAAAAACCCTCCAAACTAGAGAAATGCCCCAATACATAATGTCAATGACTAAAAAATGGTTAAGATACAGTTCTATAATTATCACAATTTCTTGGTCTGGACATTTTAGTTAGATCAGAAATTTGAACAAATTCCCTTTTCAAATATCCTGCAGTAAACAAAATGACAGCTGGCATAAATAAGAACAGCAATCTTCAACAAGCAAACATTTCTATTTATAGCTGTTACTTATGGGGAAGATCTAATGCACTATCAATGAAGTTATATTGGACAGATTTTCAATAGAAATAATAAGGTTTAAGAAATTACAATTTGCATTAAGCCAATTACACAGGCTCTTTAAAAGCCATAATTGCAAGTATAAAAAAATACCACAGCAGTGATTGCTAGGTGACATTCTCAGGCTTTTATTTCTAACAAAATCTGTATTTTAAACTCATAACATTTCTTTAATATCCAGCACTTTGAGAGAAATCCATTACCACCTCAGCTTAAACACCACTTGTGTTGATAACAGATATTCATCTACACATTCCACACACAGCCAGAGAGGTCCTGATGAAAGCACTTAGCAGCAAACACCACAGTCATTCACACATTAGTGATTATAAAGAATGGTGACGGTTGAAAGGTTGAAATGTAAAAAAACCTCATGCTCAACCTCAAGACATACTCCAGCATTTGAAATGCATGAAAATACTCTTGAATGTAGGTTTTCCCACTTTATGGATACTAAAAGCAGCTAGATGGAAGAAAACACTTGCAAAACTACTACTCTTCAAAAGTACTTCAAAAAGAAAAACAAAAAGGCAATAAAACTGGTATCCTAAGGCTTAATCTAGAATGTTTTCATAAGAAAATAACCAAGGAAGTCCACTGTGACGTTTCAAACCGTTAGTCTGCAACATCTGCAATATGATTCATGAGATGACAACAATTCAAGCATATCCCAGGTTTTCTATTCTGCATTTATAATTTTGAAAAGGGCACAGTTAAGGCTTCAACACTCCAGAACTCTTGATGGCTAACAGGCAACAGGCTGGCATTGGGCACAGAAGAAACAGTCTGCTCTTTCGACGGAACAGTCTGCTTTCTCATGCAGTAGCAGTATGCACAAGTAACTGCTGCATCATGGTGTTTGTGGTTCAAATGATCTTAATTCATTTGCTTCAGCTGCAACTTTTATTTCAAAGAACAACTGGAGATTGTGGTTTAGGTTGTGAGAAGCCTTGGACAAGTGCCAGTATTCACAGCTATTAAAATGGTTGGTCACGGTGGTTCACTTTCAGATCATTTAATCACATATACATATATATTCAAAGCTGTAGACAAGAAAAAAAAAAAACCAAAAAAGCTACATTAAATCAAAGGAGTGCCTCTTTTTTGGAATGACTTTGAAATGTAAACACCAGAAATTTTAAGGCATAGTACAAATTTGACAAAAGAAAATAGTATTGAAGTGCCACTCATCGTTCCAGTATACGACAGCTAACTTCAGAAAAAAACGTGGCACGTTTTGCAGAAGTGTCAAATCTGTCATGAATGACAGTATTCCAGTTTAAAGTACAGGCAGATAAGGGTGTCTGTGCTCTAGATGAAACTCCAGAGTATGCTCCCATGGATCTCTGGTAATGTCAACACCAATTTGTGCACTTGTCCTCAAAACCTCCAGCCTTAATACTGTTAGGCTCATAATACCCCTCCACCAATACATACATGAACAAGTATCTTAGTCCTCTATGTTTTCCGTCCTTGATTCTCTGACATTTTTCACCATCCTTTGGAAGACTTTGATCTTGAGATGGAAAAGCTTTTACATATGCAGAATTCAGCTTGAAAAGGTTCAGGCTCGCATTCCTAAAAGAGGTGGAAAAAATAACTTAAGGACATATGGAGGACATTTTGAAATATTTGCATTTTTAAGAGATCCCAACATACGTACAAGAGACGCTGAATATACATCTGACCCATTACTAAAACATTCTAAGGTGTCATTTATACAAATCAGCCACCAGACCCCAGTAACTAAACCTATTCCAGGATTATCCCTATTCTTAGACTAAAAAGCAACATTTTTAAGTTTTCTGGTAAAATGAAATGAAATACTGATGCATGCAGTTAGTTTCAATGCACTCTAGTGCACATCAAATTTTAAAATACTTTTAACAGTATAAATTTATTATTTACATCGCACTGCAAATCAAGCACATAAAAAAAGAGGAATTGTGAGCAGTTATTACAAAGCTTCCAGCTCAACGGAAATTTAAAATTAGTTAAAAAAACACTACATTTGCTAAACTACTGAATATGGAATAGCTAGTTATGTTTACCATGTCTGGGTGCACCTGCAATCTTCCATAAGGAAAAATTGGAAAGTGCAAGCAGATTCCTCCAACCTGCCCACCTTCTTGGCACTTGGCTTTTAACACCACACAGGCTACAGAGCTCTTAGCAGGACTTGGTGCCTACTAATGGGGTGCATCCCTGACTGACAACACTGCAAGCACCCAGGTGGGTAAAGAGATAAGAAAGCTGGAGGTAAGAAAGCCCTGGAAAGAATTATTTCTTCATGGCAATCAGTTGTTTGTGCCTTGTAATTTTAGGAATCCCAGTCATAGTCGGTTAGTAACATAACCCAGGCTCTATTTTGGGACATCTGAACCATGAAGCTCAACCTGTGCTTGAGTGAGTGCTTAATGTTTGAGCCTTTTGGGCACCCTCAATTTGAAAATATTCAACTGAGCATAAAACAATGTGCAAAAAAGAAGGCAATTCCAAAATCCAACTCACCTTCTTTCTCACAGGTTTCCCCCTGCTTCTCCTGTGCAAAGTTCAGCCGGTTCTGCTCAGCTGCTGTCCCATTAGACTCGGGGCTGCTGCTTCGTGAGGGGCTGCCAGTTTCAATCTGGTATGCCAGATCCAGTTGCTCTTGAGCCATCTTCAGGTGTCTGCGCAGTTTGTCCAGCTCCCTAGATGTAGATTCATCCCCAAATGATTCCCGGCCTGAATCCCCGAGGTTGTCCCTGAATTCTAGCTTGTGGCCATTGGCAATCTTTCCCTTTGGATCCTTCTTGAGGACTGAGTGGTAACCAGGAGGCGCAGAGGGCATCTGCCTACAGATGGAAGCCCTGGGATTCACAACCACAGGAGGCCGCCTGGACCTATTTCTCAGTGCATCTCTAATGCCACCAAAACCCAAGTGAAACATTTCAAAGATGTCCATCAGCAAGCAAAGCCCACTCACCACATACATAATCAGAAGGAAGATGGTTTTCTCAGTAGGCCTGGAGACAAAGCAGTCCACAGTATGAGGGCATGGGCTCCGGCTGCAGACATATGAGGGGACAACCTCAAAGCCATACAGAATGTACTGGCCAAAGAGGAAGGCCACTTCGAAGATGGAACGCGTCAACAACTGTAGGACATAGATTTTCATCAGGCCATCTTTCTTGATTCTCCGCCTCCCATCGTGTTTCTTCTCCGTCGACTTCTCGTCCTTTTTGTCTTTCTCCGGTTCAATTTCCTCAAAGATCATTGGATCCTCTTCACCATTGTCTTCAGCTTCTTCGTAGTCTCTGCTGGCCCCACGTTGGACCACAGGCACCCGTTTCCTATTCTTGGGCCTGTACTCCTGATCACTCATCCTGGTGATCTTATGTACAGCAAAGCCAAGGTACATGATGGAAGGAGTAGATACCATAATAATCTGGAAGACCCAGAATCTCACATGTGAGAGGGGTGCAAAGGCATCATAGCAAACATTCTCACATCCAGGTTGCTGCGTGTTACACACAAACTTGCTTTGTTCATCATAATAGATGGACTCCCCTCCCACAGCTGTCAGTACAATACGGAAGACGACAAGAATGGTAAGCCACACCTTTCCCACAAAGGTGGAGTGATTATGGATCTCCTCCAACAGACGGGTCAAGAAGCTCCAGCTCATGATGCCACAGTGGGGGTCTTAGCTCTAGAAGAGAGGAAGATACAGGTTCTGAGAAATTTAAAACAAGAACAAAACAGCACAATAAATTAAAAAAATTTATTAGGCTAAAGAACAGCTTTACAGCCCATTGAAGGCTATTAGAGAAACCGTAAGTTTAAATTTGTTAGTATAAGAAAAGCAGAATAAAACACTTCATTGCAGAAATTTATTGGTTCTGAAACATCTTAAGGTTATAAGCCATGGGCTTAACTTTAGTTACAAGCCTCTAATAAATCAACCAAAAAGATATTTCACATCTTTAACATATATAATTCTTCAACACCCACATCATGCTTTAATGTTTTTCTTTAAACTGGCATTATCATAAAAAACTATCCTGATTTGTTTTGGTTTTGATTAATACCTAAGAAATTCGGGCATTTAGGACTGTAACTTAACCATTTTTCAAAGTTTTGCACTACTGAAGGGTTTTTATTATTCAACAGGAAGTGAGAGAAAAAGTCTTTAAAGCTGGAAAACAGACCTCAGGCAAGAGTTCCTGTGCCCTCAATAAGGCTTTTCATTCACACGCCTGACTCTTGACCTTAACAGAGTATTGAGTTGGAACAACCATGGGCCAGGACCTCCACACAAATACTGCTATTGTATCAAGACAGGCAGAACAGGGGAGAGAAAAAGGCTGATATAATCCTACCCTGACATTATCCACAATTCTCTTCCCCACCCACACGGAACAAGTTAGCTTTTACCATCCAGACTAAACCCAAAACAGGCCCTAATTCTCAGTTTTCATCCCCTGTAACTTCATATGGTAGAAAATAGCTTTTAATAAAGGTTTTCTTAAAGCACAAGTGCACAGAGCCTATAAGATATTATACATCAATAAAATACACATTGATTTTCTCTCCTCAAAAATATGTTCATTATCTGTATAGTATATGTAAACGGAAGCACCATGGAAAGCTAAGCATACCTATAGAGGCAAAAAATTACATTACTACTATATTATAAATTTTAATTACCTTTTAACTATCCATAATCAAATACCTTACTTTTAGTATACCTCAGCTAAGCTCAAATAAAGGTGATATACATTTAAAAGAAGAGAAGATTATAGAAATGTATAGAAGATGATAGAATTCAAGAGTACAAATGCAGTACCTTAACTAAAAACTCAGAGCCACAAGATGGCAGTGCATTCACAAAAATATAATAAATGCATATTCTGAAAGACACCAAACCATACATGCAACTTAACACAACAAAAACATTAATAACCTCCACTACACACCAGAAAGTTAAACATGACTACATTTTTTAAATAATACCTCTTGGATCACAAATCAGTCCTTATCCAAACATATGTTTTTGGCAGCCCTACCATTTTAGTTTGAAAACACTGAATTCTCCTCATCGTTCAATCAAGATGATCAGTTTTGCGCTTCATACAAATCACATGGCAATTGTAAAAAAATAGTATTGTCTTGAAATAGTCCTTGTTTTTTTAATTTAACAATATGCTTAACATGATCAAATGTAAATTACTCTGGATACCAAAAAGTGATTTTACACCACAATTGTTGGATAAACAACATAGGACCTACATTCCGGCTTAAATCTGAAATACTCTATGAAACACCCATAAACTTAACTTTTTTCCTGAACAAAAAATACCTTATTTTCATACCCAGTTAAATTGCAAACTTGTGAACTTTATTGAAATATAAAATACATAACTATCTCCACACCCACCCATTAAGATGTCAGCGTTTAACTTTATATATACTGTATGACAAAGAAACAAATATGCCGATTGTTGTGCGATATCTTATAACAAAAAGCAATCAGATGACTGAATAATTATAAAAATAATCTTTAGCACAGCTTCTCCCCTTTAAAACCTGATTTTCTTCTACAGTGGGTAAGCAAATTGAGCCCATGGGCTATTCTATTCCATACAAAGGTATGATAATAAAAATGAAAGTTCTACAGAGAAGCAGAGCACATGCATCTACCATAATGGCAAACTCGAAACAAACTGCACGTTTCCAGCTATACGAATACTAGGTGAAATTTAAAATGCAAAACTTCCTTAATACTCCACAGGCACATTCTATGCCAGCCATTTTACACACGTTAGGACTTATTGTACCAAATCGTCTTCAGCATTTCAAAACTGTTACTACCAGTGGACCTTCTACATGTTCAGACAGGCCTGACGGCACCTTAAGTGATGCTGGAGGCTTTTAACTGAAGAAACAATGAGTCAAACACTGGAACTTTGAAAACAAAAAGTTTAAATTTAATGGCCCCTTTAGTAGTGTCAGGCAATGTCATTCAGACCCATGAAAAGTCCTTTTTTAAGGAATACCTTGGTGTAGCCTGAACACAGACGGAGAGAAATACATCAGACTGAGCAGGTTACAGACATATGTGGAAACACATGGGAAAGATGAGAAGTACCTGGTGATCTAACATACCGTGTACAATATATACAGGTTTCAATCTTCACTCGTTTTAGAATACTTAACTCTTGGATCATATTCTGGAATAGCTGTATGAGGAGTTGAAGTTCGAATTCCAAAGAAAAAAAAAACCAAATTGAAAAACAGACTTGCATTTGAGGCACCAGTTCTCAGGAAAAAGCTTTATAAAATAACCTATATAACCTATATAAAAACATGCTCAAGTCCTTCTGTATTCTATATATGAACTTAATACTTTCACTAGCGTGTCTCATTTTAACATGTCTTCCAGAGATAGCTGTGCCATTGAAATCCCAAGACCTAACTTTCACAGCAAATATATAGCACATCCTTCAAGCAGGTTGGTACAACTCCGGTCCTTAAAAGCCAATGTGTCATCAGGATTGCTACATCTCTAATTCTGCAACACCTGAACAGCCAGAAGATGTTGGGAAATTGGTCAATTTAAGCCAATGATTTCTCATTAATAGCTAAGCTGGATAAAAACAACCCACAGAGACTCCCTTCCTCCAGGGGGGGGTTTGGCCTAATGTGCCATAGAGCATTGCACAGTATGAGCAATGGGGAAAGGAACTAGAGATGCTCATCTGGGGACATACTGGGATGCTTTTTACCCTGCCACTGGAGGAAAGACCTACTTAAACCAAGCAAGTTGTAGCTCAAAGGCTTTAGTGGTGTAGGAATTAGGAGCTTGTAGAATTAACTAGTCAACTGAGCCCAAAGCCATTTTCCCTGTGACGTGTTCCCTTTAGAAGGATATTTCCGACGGCTCAAGAAAAGTCTCCTTACCACGTGGAAAACTGCAAAAGTTACCCCCTTTTTTACAGGCTAGTACAAAAGTAAAGTGGGGAATTATAGGCCAATCATTCTTGCATCCATTTCATGTAACGTAAAGATTATGAGCTGAGTGAAAACCCAAACTAGGAATATTCAGCATAGATTTAGATAGAGTAGGTCTTTAATAAAACTGGCAAATAACTCTGAATCATCTTAAGTAGAAATGTAAGTAAAAGTAAGGCCTTTGATACGGTTCTATATGAAGTCTCAACCTAAAGACTGCAGGTGATGCATGTGTATAGCTAGCTGATGGATAAGTAGTTATAATAAGGAGAAAAGCCTCACTGTGCTCAGCTAGTGAGTCGAGTACCTCAATAATTCATTATAGACTCACTGCTCTCTAATTTACAGAAACGTTCTATAGATTAGTCTGAAAAATGAAAATAATAGGTAGAACAATAAAAACAGCATAACAGCCACAGGACACAGGTGGCAGCTCAGGAGTTGCTTTTAAGACCGAAAACGGGAGACAAAGCTCTGTAGGAATCTGGAATAAGATTCCCAGTCACTTTGTGGATGGGCCAGCTAATCACCTACTAGCAAGCAAACAAGCTAGATGGTTCAGATGACCTCTTATTTATTCCTGTGCCTTCTTGCATTATGTTCTGTGTGTTGCATATCCTGAAACTGAAGCAGTTAGGAACACAAACAGCAAACATTCACCCTCAGTGCTCAGCTTTGAGAGAATGCAGGACATCTGCCAGTAGTCTTGATGCGCAGTGTTTAAACATTCCTCCTTTCAAAAAAACCTGCTTCAGCATGTCAAGAGAGCTAGAAAACACTGTACCACACTGTACTGATCCTGTTCTTGCAGGGATGCCAGGAATGCACTCACACTGAGAAGCACACAAAAAGATAGTGTTACAGAGACGCTGGCTATATTCCGTCCTACAGAATAAAACAAAACTGGCACTGACTTCAAACTGCAAGAGGTCTATGTCCACATGACTGCCTTGTTGGGGGATAAGGATTTCCATCCAATATAAGCAAGACAAAATGTATTGCTTCTGGCTGCAAATAAGTTAACATGTCACAGTGCCATACAGCAAAAAGATCTCTTTAAAGACAATACTATTTTCTTTAATAAAAACGTTCAAACCAAGTAAAGGCAAAGATCTGGCTTGAAATTTGCATTTGTACCATAGAAGCCATTGTTTATTTATAAATAAATTTAGGTTCTGTGAATTTCAGTTTTTAAATTTACCTTCCCTCTAAAAACAAACTGGGATTTAGAGGAAGGTCATTAGAGAATAATTGTTACATTCAGAAATGTAGGACTTCAAGCCTGCCACTGAAAATAAATCTATTTCTCAAATATACAGATGAATAATAATGCTCCCATAAAATGTATTAGTAATATGTCAACCCACATGTTAGGCCTTTTCTTTTCATCAAGGAAATGTTTCCAAAAATAAGAGTATTCCAACAAATTCTACAGAAGGCTGTAAAATTCAATTTGTATTTCAGCACCATACCATTCCTGTCACTCTACAGCTGTGAATCTACAAACTGTTACACAGAGGTCTCTTTATTCTTTGAATTACGATCACTGCAGTTTTGCAGTAGAAAAAATAGCTATTCTGTAAGTGAACTATATGCCTTATTTTTTGCTGTAGCAACAAAATGTCATTGATTTAATTCACCAAACTTAGCAAACTTAAAAAAAAGGAATACTGATCTCAATTTGATACCCGTGTGGCT